TATGTGAATCAATACCTTAAAATGCATGCATGGCATGAGAAAGAAAAGTTTGCTCAGTTCAGTGAAGCATTGTGACCCTTCATGGCCAGGTCGTCAGTGAAGCATACAGGAAGGATCCAAGAGGGAGCGAGGATTCACAGGCAAGCTGAGAGTCAACAGCCGAGCTGCATCCCCAGAGATTTCTGGCTGTCTCGCTCTGTCTGTTGACACTCTTCTACTCCATTGACTTTTTCATTAACCCCTTATCAAAATGTTTTTCTCTCCCACACTCCACCGACATTAGGCCCCTTCCCTTTCACCCCCCATGAGATCCTGGTTCAGCTGTTCCCCCTTGTGGTCAGATTTGATAGGAGGGTGCCTTTACACAGACACACTTTTTTTTCTTGTCCTCTGATTTCTTTGTTGTATTTTTGTCTCCTATCTCACCTTGGAGAGATGAAAACAAATACTAAAAATTCATAACTACCATGCCATGGCCAAGACAGTGTTTGCACAGAACACACAGGACCCTTTTCATGCATTTACACTTAGAAAATGGATATACAAAAAACATACATTTAAACAATCAGTGTGCATGAAGTATGAAATAAAACTCTACACAAGAAATAGAGCCTGTGAACATATGTTATTTGGTGCTGAAAGCCTAAATCGGCCAAAATAACTTATGGCTTCTCTCACATTTAATTACCTTCAACTTGTGGAGCAGCCAAATTAAATGTTTTCTTTGGCCTGTATTCAGAGTTTGCCCACCTCTTCTGCAAGTATGAGACCATCCTTCACTCTAACTTAGTGCATGCTTTATTTCCAACTTAAATTAAATTTTTTGTATGACTTAAGCAATTTCCCCCCCAAATAAAGCAAAGGAACAGTTACAGTCATTACCGGAAGAAGGGCAAATGCTAAACCTGTTAAGTACTTCATAAACACTAAATCTAAGTGAACAAATAAATGCAACGGTTAATGAAAGTATTTTTAGATTATTGTACATAATGTTTGGTGCCATTTTTTCTACAATTTCAATCCTTTGGGATTGATACAAAGCACATACTTTTTAGACCTGTCTTCATTTGTCTGTTCCAGCTGTGTAAGTAAAACACACAGATATGGCACCCACTAGTGGCCGGAATAATAATGATCCCAAAACTCAAGTTGGGTGCAACACAGATTGTGTTTACTGCACAATCAACATGCAGTGTTATTTGTTTAATCCTCACTGCATGTATTATCACACTGGTCCTCTCTGCATGTATTATCACACTGGTTATAGGTAACTGGAAGCATTTCCCAGTGTTTAAATAAAACTTCCTCACTCATGCGTTAGTCTAACAGCACAGGCAGGCACAGTAAATGGTTCCAAAGCTCAGCAAGCGTGTAATAAATAGCATCAGGTGTGTACCTGCCAGCACACTGCTGATTCCCGTCGTAAAGTATGATGCACGAGTGGAGGATGGTGATAAGGATCCGGTTTTTACACATGGATATATTCCCTTTACAATCTCCGCACTTCCACCCCACCATCATCATCAGCCGTCTCAATTTAGATTCTTGTTGACTTGTAAGTTTGCGCTGGATTTTTTATTTATTTATTTTGACTTTTCTGAACTCAAACTTGTCTAATTTGTACATTTTCTGGGTGACTGTTGGGCAAACAACAATCTGCTTTTACAATACAAAAAAAACAAACCCACAGGGCACAGCTGTCGAGGATAGATGATTTAATTATCAAAATTTTAACTAAAGTACAATTCCCTGAAGAAATGAGTGATACACACTGACAGTTGAGGTACAAGCCATTTCATCCTCTTCTTTTCATTACATTTGGAAAATGTTCTCTGGTTTATTCATAGCAGTGTTCTGAAAACCTTTCAAAGACATCCCCACATTACAGTCCCACTAGCTGGATTTTGTCTAAGAACAATGAATAGGAAAAATCATACTAACGATGTGATTTGACAACCAAAAACTGTGATATAAAATAGCAAAAGGAAGATACCAGAAAAATCATTTAAGAAGAGCAAAGACAAAACATTGAAGGCAGTTTTATTCCCTATCAAAAACACATTTCAACCTTTTACCCTCATGTTACTCAAGGAACTGTTTTTTGATTTCTTAGAATTCTTCTTCGGCGTTCCGACACCTGGAGGTCTTGAGCTGTTTGAGGCGCTTGATGCACTCCTCCACACTGTGCTCGCCGTGGACTTTGTTGTCTCGGGTGCGTACGTTCACTGTGTTGCTCGTCTTCTCCTTCTCTCCCACCACTTTCCAAACAGGGAAACATGCAAAGACAAAAAGGGAGAGAAGGAAAATCAATATCTAGATGGTCAGTGAGAAAGCGATAAGGACAGGAATAACATACATGACTGAAACAAACGTGTGTTGCCACTGACCCAGGATGAAGTTATACTGCGCCAACTGTGCATTTCTGATCTTTTTGTTCAGGGTGCAGCTGGGGTCGAGATCCACGTCAGTCATGAGTCCGCTGCTGTGGAATTCCTGCTTGATCTGCCACATTAATGAGAGAAACAACCAATACTTAAAACAGTCCAGGAACGTTTTGGAAATTTATTCATTTGCTTACAAGAAAAAGTCTGTAGATATTACACATTTTAGTCTGAACAGAATAAAGATCATATTACAGAAACCATTACAATCACAGTGGACTGTGGGGCTGTTCTCTTTTCCCATTACAATATTGGGACTATAGACCACCTTTACAAATATGTTCAGCACCAACGATATCCAACCAGAATGTCCCCAACACATGTTAAAAGCTAAACAAACATTAATACAAACTGAGTTTTATTTTCATAGCTCTGACAGTCAGTTTTATTAGGTGTGATAACATTGTGCTCGCCATGATTAGGCCAATGTCAAATAATTAAATTGTAATAAAAACAAAAAATGTTCAGAAGAAAAATCCATTAGTATTTATGAACTAACATCCTAATTACATAGCAGAGCATTGCTTTCATTTTTATTTTAATTTTAAATAAAACATTGCGTGACAGCTTCACGAAAACTTGCATGACTTGGTTCAGAAATATTAAAAAATTATATCCTTAAAAGCTGAGGCGGCAAAGCATGCAGTAGTATAATAGAGACGAAACTAATGATCCTTAAATACTCCAGTACTGAATGACTCCAGTCTGTGATAACATACAGTGATCCAACCAATAGCCACAATATCAATGTAAAGGCTTTAAAATCTGCATAAAGTTAAATTAAAGTGCTCAACAGCCTGAGGGTGCTGTTTGTAATGTCCTTTAAATGTAAATACGGAAGTAGCCAAGGTCAGTTCTTACTTTCTCAGCATACTCTTCACAGGTTGGTCCCACGGGTACAACCATCACTTGACGAGGAGAGAGCCACAGAGGCCTGAAACAGAGGAGGACATATTTGCATTTAGCTGATTATTAAAAAACAGGCTAGAAACCTGCCGTCTGCCAGAAACCCATGTAAAAAAAAAAATGTCACCCCCACCCCCCACTGAGCTGTCATGCTTCCATTTCCAGCCCATTAATCAAGAAATCATGGGAACAGTCTGAAAGAACAGCAATAAACCAAAAATGTCAAAAATCAAGAATAGTGCTACTTCACAAATCAATCAATCATCTTTCTAAGCTGATTGTTTACAAACCATTTGCCCCCGTAGTTTTCAGTGAGAATAGCGATCATCCTCTCTACTGATCCCAGGATCGCTCTGTGGATGATCACAGGTCTCTTCTTGTCGTCACCATCATGGCTACAAAAGTTGTTGGAAAGGAAAAAAAAAATAACAGAGTGAAAATTTCCCCTCAGCAAACACAACCATCTATACAGGACAAAACTCAGACTTATGTTGGTTTTAAGTGAGGGACTTACACAAAGCAATCAATAGAAAATGATGGAGGGCCAATTAACAAACAGGTGAGGACAGCATATGCTATTTAATGACTAGAGTGTCTTTTATCTAGTTCTCAAATCTATATTGTGATGTCACCTTATTCACCTCCCCCCAGACAGAAATAAAACATCTAAATTAATTTTCATGCAGCCACTGCCCTTTTGTGAAAGATGGCACTCAGGGCAACGAGATGATGTGTAAAACTCAAACTCCAACTGCCAGCTTCTACTAATACTTTCAATTATGCTTTACAGGTTAATTATTTACCAAGGTGAATTTTCAAGGCAACAGATCATTTAATTAGCTACTGACAAACATCACATAATGTAATTTAAACAGTTTATGAAGTGATGCAACAACAGTGAAAAAATGACCAATTAAAGACAGTTTGAAAAGACTACAATATGACCTGAATCGTGAGATGTATAATAATAGGTGAGACTTGCATAACTGGTAAAATTTCCCTAAAATGCCATTAATGGAAAAGAGTACGCATTACTGTATATGTGAGTATGATCATATTGTACACGTGAACTATGGTAATAAGTGAAAATCACATTTATAGGTCACAGACTGACATTTCCAGTCGCATGAAGCTCTGAATTTTCTGTCACTTCTGATCTCATCACTTGTGACAGCTGTAATTCTTGTCTGTTCCTTCCTGCTATACAGACAATGACAGAAGCTGTTTGAGGTGTTCTCAGACTGAGGCAAAGTGAAAGTACTACTATTTTGTTATTGCTAGAAATATCAATTATTATAGTTAGAAAAAGACTGGGGGGGGGGCCTCTGCTTCTAGACTTTATACATTTTAAGCACTATAAAGAGAAACAGATAATTGCTATGGTGGTGCTCCTTTTTTGTTGGTCTTGTACTTATAAGCTTTATTACTGGGTATTGTCATAAAGCTGTAATGAAGACAGATCATTTTGTAATGTTTTTTGGCAGACATGTTAACTGTCTCCAAGTCAGGGGGTTTATTTGCATATTAAGAATATTACTCATCGCTATTTGGTTACTGGATTTCCTGCTTTCTCACTGACACTTGAGCTTATCCCATAAGCCATAAATGTAATTACCCAACATATAAAACTTGTCGTTACCTGACAAATGTGAGGTTAAAGCGGATCGGGAGCTGGAAATCGAGCTGAATAGTAGCGCACTGATGGTATCGACCAATGGCATCCTTGATCTGAATGTCGATCTGCAGACAAAACACTTGTGATCAAAAGCAACCCTTCTGCAGTTTCACAGTTTAGCTACATTATTAGTGCAGCGCACAGCTCACCTTGGGTCCGTAGAAAGCTCCGTCACCTGGGTTTAGAACCCATTTCTCTCCGAATTCATTCAAGCTATTCTCCAGTTGCTGTAAATACAAACAATAACTGCTTTGTTACCATGTCAGTTTCTGACAAACGTGCAGGTAAACAGAGGTGTTAAGCAAGGCTCCTCCTATAGACCTGACCTTTTCTTCATCTGGAACTAATCACTGAACTGAGAAATGCTAACGTCTCAATAATATTTTATGGTTGCTTGTGGGAATTAACGAGCTGAGGGAAATATGCAGCAGTTCTCTTCCGAGCACGATGCCAAGTTCCCCAGTCACTTTTGTGTTTATAATTTTCCACCTTTGTGTGGGACACATCATTAAAAGTCAGTGCTGCATTTAAAAAGAGTGCTTTCTTCAGATGACAGGTTAAGTAAGACAGCTGTTCAACTTGCAAACTGATATTTTTTTTATGGCTTTTATTTCTATTCTAAGAACTGTGACTAACTGTTAATTAGAAAAAGATAGCAGCAGCCCATAATTAACATGTGCAGTCAGTAAGATACAGTACATTTAATTTTTATACTGTAGCATTTGAATTATATTTGTAGTGTGCTACTTATCAGCAAACTACATAGTCTTTAAAACTTGAATAGTAACTGTAACTAATCAATTTATTGATAATGAAATAGCCTAAAAATAACTTCCATCAGTAATGCTTTTCTCCCAGCAGACAAAAGATATGCTTGAAAATTAAATTAAAAACGGAAGGACTAAGAACTGAATGATGACACCAGTGACTGTAAAAAGGAAGCAGAAAAGAAAAGGAACTCTTTCAGGTTTATACAATACCCATAAATTGAAAAACAGAAGGGCAGACAGAGCCAGTAATAAAGAGTAAGTATGCTTTTCTCTTCTTCTACCCAGCTATTATGTTCTATCTATTCAAGGATGAGTGTAGCTACAGTTCATGGTAATTTATCAGTGCCTGAGAACAAAAATGTAAACCATTTTTTCTAGTGGCTCATGGGTTTAAAACATTTGAACATTTTCCGTTATAAAAAACAGGATGTATCTTGAACCTCCACCAAGAAGACTGCACTAGATTATAATGACAAACCCGCCACCACAACAAAACAATCATGATAAAAAAAAAAAAAAATCAATGAAGTGGTGACAACAAGGTACAAAATGTATCAGCTTATTCTGCCAGATGAGAGTTTCCAACAGAGTAAAAAAACAAACAAAAAAAACCACTTAGAGGAAAACATAATTGAACATCTTTGTGGCATGAATCGAGTGTGGCAATGTGCAGATGAAATAGTTATCCGACTGCTGAAATAAAATACCTCTGCTATCAGATAAAGAGAAGAGTAAAGGCCGTGTGAAAGTTAATTCAACACATGCTTTACATCAGTCAAACTTTTTCAACCATTCAAAGGCAGCCAGCAAAGGCTTGCCAGACAAATAAACACTTTATGTCCTTCATGGACTAGTGCTGCGGGAACAACAATGCAGTATATATGTGGCATTTAGTAACTGTCATTTAACAGTGGCTCTACAGACTCATCTCCTACAATTCAAGTTGTCCCAGCAGAGATGCTTGATGTCATTCATGAAAAGCTGCAATGCTGTTACCCACAACACCAAGCAATAAAGCCTAATTATGACTCAGTCCAACTCACTTCTATTATTCGTTTATGCTTGCTAAAAGACAAGCTGAGCAAATTAGAGCCGAACTACAGATGTAACATACAGAACTTGTGAACTTCATTTGGCAGCAAAGGCAGACAGTTAAAGCAACAATACGTGGACGGTTTCAAAGCGTAAAAAACTCCCCCTCCCCCTTTCTTCAGACATGATTGCAAGTCCACAAAAAAACCCTCATTAAAATAGAAATGTATTTAGGGTCCGCAAGTCTCACTTCTCCATTCGCTGTCAGTGGAGTGGCTCAAGAATTTCCATCTTAACAATATCTCACATCAGAATCTTAATGTTCCAGTGAGACACTGACTGAGCGTTTTCTTATTTTCTACATGTAGTGAAGCTAGAGGCCTTTTGAATACCTTCTCTGCTTGGTCCCAGACCTCTGGGTCTCCCAGGAACTTCTCTGGTCTCGTGGAAAGGTTGAGTTTAAAACTGAAGCCAAAGACATCATAAACAGTCCGCAGGAAGTCCAGGCATCCCTTGATCTCCGACTCAATCTGAGGTCAGTGATAAAAGAAAGAAAACAAAAAAGCAATAGTGTTTGCATCATCCATCTGGACATGGCTACAAATGCAATTTCTGCTGCCGATTTCATGTTTGTTTGTGTTAGGATATCTAGAGAAGGAAACCTAATTATTTTGTTTGAAAAGATGCTCACCTTTTGGTTTATTTAAAAAAAAAAAAAAAACAACACCAAAAAACCCCCAAAAACTAACAACCACAAAGATTTCATCATAATTGAAAAATAAATAAATAAATAACAAGTGAGTGCTTTGAAGGTGAAGGAAAATACACAATAAGAATAACTGTAAGGAAAATGATTGCTTTCTTTTCTTACTAGATGTAAACCATGTGCTGAAGTCACTGATTATCAATTTAATGCAACATAAGAACATATCTCCTGCAGTCTGTTTTACATGATTGTAAATACTGGGGGGAAAAAAACAACCCAAAACAACAACAAAAACAAAACCACACCACCACAAACAGCAACAAAAAACAAACAAAAACGACTACAAGCAGCGCTTTCCAGCTGCTGCAATGAAAGAGAAAAATTAAAAATCAAATAATTTGTGCACAAGTGCAATCAAAATAATTAAACATCCAATCCAGTGCCTTCACGGAGAAAATTAATCAGTGTGATCACGGCTGCTGTAATAAGACTTATGAACCGAAAAATTAAGAAACTTTTTTGGTCTTTCCAAATATTGTTTGTTTGCACCAGTTATAACTGTGCCGTTCTTTGGAAATGTATTAAAAATTAAAACGTTTTTTAGAAAGTATTTCAGTAATAAATGTGACTTAAAATATTACACTGGTATGAATGGTATCCTTTTCTAAAGAGTAATGAATTTAGTATTTCAGTCAAATAACACTGAACGTGGTCATGCTTTAAAGGAGGGAACAAAAGTTGATATAGCAGAGTCAGGAGTATTGTCTTTTTTACCTTCATTTTCTTTTTTGTTAAAAGAAACCCAACTGCTGACAGTTCAGGACGGGTGTATGCGACACTCACAGATTTATTTTACCTTTCTTCAGTCTCAACTGAAGGCTTCGCACCAGTAAAAATTGCCTTTAAAGTGAACCGATCATCCATGCGTAAATATCCATTATATTGAAGTAGGATGCAAAGCTACTCTACTAATCAGAAATTAGCATCCTACATATCCTTTAAATAATTTTTTCACCCCACATACCTAGTGGGAAACGCCAAGACTGTAAACAGATTTTTAAGTGTAAAACAATTCTTACTGGTCTCATCGGGCTCATATAAAGCCCAAATGTGTGTTGTACACATTTCAATGCACATCTCACCTGGTCCATGGAGCAGAAGATGTGAGCATCGTCCTGCTGGAAGCGGCGGACACGGGTGAGGCCAGTCAGAGCTCCTGACAGCTCGTTCCTGTGCAGGACACCAAAGTCGGCCATGCGAAAAGGCAGCTCTCTCCAGGAGCGAGGCCGGTGATCAAACATCAAACTGGTGCCAAACAAACATATGTATAAAATACACAAAGATGCAACTGCCAACTTCTACCTAGAGTAATCACAATACCTAAAAATTGCTCTGCTGTGAAAACCTGAGTGTAATATTTGATTTAACTGATATTCAACACTTTGAAGATCAATTTTGATTACAGTGTGATTTTCAGAGAGGTCATCTTTGTGCACAGCCAAAACACTGAACGAGTAGAAAGAGATAAAAGATGTGAATACAAATAACTGCAGTCTGCTTCTTTGCACTGCAATGCAGCAGCAAGTGTCCTCGGCCAACAACTGAAAACACAGCAAACATTGAGCTGAACTGGCAGACAAGCATTTTCTTTTGTGACAGCAGTCCGAGTTTATTTAATGGTAATGGACATGTATGTAATACAAAGCTCTTCTTTCAACAAGCAGTTACTTCTGATTACAAATATTAAAAAATTAATATTTCACACTACAGGCAACACTTGCTACGCTGTGCATTAAAAGGAGTGTTTTTCTTTTCCTCATTCTTTTGTAGTTGCCCTTTAAAACTAAAACTATACCTGACAACAACTCTGATTGTGAGGAAACAGAAGTCTCACCAGTGTCCAGGGCAGTTCATGGGCTTGAGAGCGAAGATCTCCTTTTCCACCTCGAAGGAGAACATGTTCTCGCTGTAGTGCTGCCAATGCCCAGATGTCTGCCAGAGTTTGCTGTTGTAGATATTGGGAGTCACAACCTCCTGGAAGCCCCTCTTCCTGTACTCACCCTGGCAATGAACGTGACAATGTTTTCTCACAAAGTCTTCCAAAAAGCTCAGCTTCACAGTTCTGTGTATCCATCACCTCTACAAACAACTGGCTGAAGTGGTTTCTGTCAACACCTGGAGACTCTCTAATAAGGGACGTATGCATAAATAAAATGGTAAACAACTCTGCAAGCAAACATGTTTATACTGCTGCATATTTGCATTCTCCTGTTTGTCCATATATTATGAAGAGTTTGGGGGAAAACTGAAATATAAGGGTATTCACTTTTGTATTGCTTTAATTCACCATGAGCTGATTGGTTTGTTCAAATCAGAAAGACAGATGATACTATTAAATAATCTGTCATTTCTTTTAAATCCTGATATCTGCTGATATGTTTTCGGTGTTTTGTTGTTTGTAAAAGCAGAACGCAGAACCATTTTTTGTTTTTTGAACAAAACAAATCTCATTACTCCAAATCTGCTCAGTCAGAAATCTATTTAAGTGAAATTGCCTTGAATGTGTTTTCTATTATGACTGCACTGACTGGAAACCCAGGGAAATAAATGCTTTGAAAAAGATTGACTTTTATGTGTCTGTATAATAGAACAGGTGTAAATAAAGCTTTCCTTTAATGCTGTCAGTGTTTCAATATATTTTAAATAAGTGTTGGATAATAATAAGCTTTTCTGAGATTCATAAGTGAATTTGTGTGTCAGAAGGTAAACATCACATTGAGCAATGCTTTTCTATTACCTGGCCAAAACAATATTTTATTAAATAAGCATAAATTAGATGTGTCAAGCTTCCATTTACAGCATTACTGTTGTGGAAAGAAAACATGAATTATTTTCCTATTCATCTGGACTTTGCTTAAGACACTGATTTAATGCTGTATTATCAAAACATTACCAATCCCTTTTTAGTTCTTTGTATTAAAGTATATGACACATGGCTTAAATTGGAGTGTTTTTTTTTTTTTCTTTCTTGTGTGCATTATAAAGCCATTTTCATCATCGCAGAACTTCTTCCTGCAAATGTAAACTTTCTCCCTAATAACCTCTCTTTTTTCTAAATCTCCAAGCTCAGTGTTAGATCACAGTAATTATCAGTGGGTCTGACAACTCAGCCTTACTCTGATGAACTCAATCAGGGTGTTGTAGATGAAGGCTCCCTTAGGCAGGAAAAAGCAGCTCCCTGGACTCAGGTCATGGAAGAAGTACAGGTCCTGCTCCTGAATGTAAAAATAAAATAGGGTTTGTTAGAGACAGAAAATTAAAAAGCCATCAAACAAGTCAACCTGGTTTCAATTTGAAGACACCTTGTGACATACTTAAGCTTTAAATAGGGTTTGTCTAGGTATGTTCCCTTTTCCACACCTTCATCACACTGAAAATATGGCTACAACACCCTACACTCTGAGCTGACTACTATGGGTTTTCTTTCAATAACCAGCAAATTAAAATCTGCTTCATGGATATTTTTCCGTCATGCTATATTAATGTCAGTATGTGACAATCAGTTTATGAGCTTACCAAACAATTCACTAAATAAAAATAGGTATTACACATGCTATTAACCGATTTAAAGATCATACATGTTTTCACACTGTTCAAAAACTAGTTTGAGTACTTTACTCTGTACATTTCAAATTTTCTTCTTGCAATACCAAGAGACTGCGAACAGTGAAACCTGCAAGAGACCATTTTCCTAACTCACAGCTCATTTACATTTCAATTCTTACCCGGCCCAGTTTGCGGTGATCTCTGTTCTTGGCCTCCTCCTGAAACTTTTCCCAGTCTTTAAGCATTTTGGGGTCAGGAAAGGAGATTCCATAGATCCTCTGGAGGGTTTCCATGTCCGCCTTTCCCTCCCAGTATGTGGATGAATTCTAGCACACAAAAGGGAGTACGTAAGCTTTTTCATCATTCTTTTGGGTCCATCAAATCCCTTGGGGATAAAACAAAGGGTAACTCTGCTCTAAAAATAGGGACAAATGTGCTTACAGCCAGACATTCAGGACACAGACTCCAGTATTTTAAATCTCTCTTATATCCACATATATAGTTAACTGCAAGTTTGTTCAATAATTTTCCACAGCTGATAGCAAAAAGTCTAACCTTGTGTATCTTGAGTGCCTTGATTTTTCCAGTGTGTCTCACATGAGGTCCCCGGCATAAATCAATTAAGGGACCACATCTGAAATGAAAGATATTGTAACTTTAGTTCACTTAGTCACCTGTTTTGTTCTATATTTAAAATGAATACTGACTAGGAGAACCAGTTGTGTTTTGAATGTAGCGCCGAAATGTCTACCCAGTCTGTGACAGAAAAAAACTAAACACAGCATCTTTAACCAATTAAGTAGTGCAGTTGCAAATCAATATCTCTTTCAAATTTAAATAAATAATATATATATATATACACACACACACACACACACATATCATAGTCACATTACGGTATTTTTAAAAAATTGTTTTGGATGATAGTTAAAGTCTGAGGCACCTGTAATAAAGTGCATCTGGTTTTTTTATTTAATTTGCTTGAGATTAACAAACAAACAAACAAAAAAAGAATATATCACCAGGATACTATTCACTGACCCACCTGTAGACTGTGGTAGTGGGAGTGGTGACTTTCTCATTCAGAATGCGGCACTTAAACGTGTTGTACTAGAAAAAAAACAAAAGATTATGTGGAAAAAAAAAATCATCAAATCAATTTAATTTTTGTTCCATATTCGTGTGCTGTTGTTTAAAGATACCTTGAACATTTCCAAGAGAGTTTCCTTCTTTATCTCGAGCCTCTCAAACGGCTGCTTCTCCTTGATGATTTTCTTGCACAAACTCTCCAGACAGGGGAAGTCATTGCTCGATACACCCCTGTCCAAAACATCAAGAAATCACACCAAGAACTGCACACCGAACACTTTCTCACTTAAAACCCCACATTAATATGCACACTGCCTCCATTGCTAAATTTAGTCTGCCACGCTTTCCAAAGGGCAGCATGGATGTGACCAGATATTTAACCATGAGAACAGACTTTTGTCCAACAGAATAATTCTTAAGTATTCGTAATACAGATAACCTCATCCAAGGATGGGCAACTACTTTAAAGTACTCGGCTTTAGGGCTTACACAATGTCAAAATATCCTTGTAAAAAAGAAAACAGTCTCCAAGAATGCCATTAGCATAAAATGGCTTCATTAAGGAGGTTGTAGAATTAATTAGACAGCACTGCTCAAGCTTTCCTGCAGCCTAAAGCAGAGAGACGTGGATCCAAAAAGGTCAAGTTAAGAAGATGTTTATGAGGAAAACTTGAAAATTTCTGAAGGTGTCTCAATCCCCCTTTCAAAGCTTCCCTTAAGTTGTTTCTCGTTGTTTAATTTGAATAGACTTGTTATTCCAACAGAAATATGTAGAAAGATGTTTTTCAGTCCCCACACATAGCCCCAGCTCGACAGCATTAGTGTAGTTACAATCTGTCTGTTTTGTGTTTGCTTCTGGTCTGACGACAGTAAACCAGATTGACAGCTGCTAAGACCTGAGGTACAGACCAAAAATATCACTGGATGCAGACTAACACCACTAATTAGACAGAAACTTTGAACTTAGAGCATACGAAACTCACTCATTGTTTTCTAGGAACATGTCATAGTAGAAGCCATTCTCAATAGGGGGACCGTAGCAGAGGCAGCCCCCATACACCCTTTCCATTGCTTCACCCATGATATGAGCACTGGAGTGCCAGTACACCTATGAAAATAAAGAAGTTTTGGCAAATTTAGAAAACAGGAGTATTCAAACCCTTTGTGTTACTAAGACTTTTAAGGGGAAATATCAAGGTTGTGACACTGAACAGATTCCTTGTTAATGACAAAGAGCAGAGAAAAAGCTGACAATACAAAAGAATGAAGCCAGTATTATAAAACCAGTTTAAAAACAAGGAACTAGTGACACTGCTTATCAAATTCACACCAGGAACACCAGTCATTGAATTCTGAGGAAGCGCACAAAGGAGACCAAAAGAAAAATGCACATTATAAATTAATACACTCAGAACTGAGGCTTTAACTGCATGCTTTGAAAACAAAACACCTGTGTAAAAAGAAAAAAAGAAGATTTTGCAAGTATTTAAATATGGCTTTTACAAAGCAAAAGGTAACTGAAGCTTTGATGTTTAGCGAGCATGACGCTGTGTATCCAGAAGATGTTAAGAATAAATTTCCAAAACTATGCTTCTAAACAATGTAGTACAAGCAGGGAGAGAAAAGGAAAATCTGACTTACAGCTTGAGCTTCCTCGTCATCAAACTTGAGCAACTGAAGGCTGCAGTCTTCTTCTAAAGGTCTGTCCAGGTCCCATACACTATTGTTTACTTTGGCAATCACCGTGTTGTCAGCAAGGCCTTGACTGAACACAAGACACAAATAGTCTACATCACAATAATGTACAGACACAGAAATAAAATGGCAAATGCCTGGACTTATGTAGCACAACACAATTTGCCTTTTATTTTCTCACACTCAGACATGTGGAGAGGGAGTTTGGGAATAGCTCTGCCATATCCTTGTGATTAGCAGAATTCCTGTTCTACCTTATTGAGAAATGGCCAACAAGAGAACAAAAATATCACATATTTTATCATTATATGGGTTAAGTCAGACAAATATGATAAAATGCAAACTTTTATATTAAATGACATACCACAAAAAGTACTGGGCCACCTACACAAAACTACAGAAGCTGCCATGAAAACCCAAGCTAGCAAGCTCCTGGTGATGATGTTAATTCCAGAGGAAGCTTTGGGCTCTGCAGTTACTGAATCAACAGTGTGTTGTTAACCTTTATGCACCTCAGCACTCTGTGACCCCGGTCTGTAACTTTACGTGCTCTGCCACTTAATGACACAGTTGATAGTCGAATATCTCAGAGGGAAGAAATTTCTTATTGCAACAGTATCACACTCAAATTTAATGAGCTAACTAGAACATTTGTTTCCTCCCACAAATCTTTGTAAAGGCAGAGTGAAAACACATGAATGCAACAATTAAGAAGCATGCCTCAATATTTTTTGTAGAGTATAGTTAATGATCTAGTTAATACACGTTTGTAGTATTATGAAAAGCAGAACTAAAACACTTAAGTTTCATTATATGTGGATTTCATTGGGTGGTTTCACTATGACTAGTAATGAGAAGTGTACTGCCAGTAAATCCTGATATTTACCCACCCTACACAGAACCTAAATATTTTGTTTTACATTGAGAATTGATCATTCCAAATGTATTTATATCGGCCTTACAATGTGTGTTTTTACTGACAGGGATATACACTGCGTGCTAATAATGCCATTAACAGTCCAATTTAAAGAAAACTAATACTTAAATTACTTTTTAAGTCTTGGGGCTGAGACATTTGTCATCTATAAAAAGATTATGAAATGGGATAAAAAATAAAAAATAAATAAATAAATAAAAAAAAAACCAAACACATGGATAGTCTCTACACCCCCCCCCCCCCCCCAATGATTGTTATGTAGCTGCCAAAATTTATGTTCATGTGTACCCCTTTTTACAATCACTTTACATTGGATGGTACTAAGGGATAACATTCCAAGCAAAACCAAACCAAGTTTTGCTTTTTTACCCCATTATTTTCTTGTCTTCAGCAGACAGTCAAAAGTTGACAAGTGTGATTTCCAGCTGCTTCCAATTTTGCCTTTAGAGTTGTGAAGCCTTTAGAAACTAAAAATGATTACAGGAACTACAAAAAGGGGGTCATCTTTGAAAAAATACATTCTGTAGCACTGACCTGATGCCACAGGCCACGTTGTACGGCGTGGTCTTCCAGGACTCGGCCTCAACAACCTTTCCATCAGGCAGAGTAACCTTGATAGGTTTGCTATCCTTTGCAGCTCTTTCTGCCATCAGAGCATCATGCTCTGCTTTCAGCTTTGTGTACAAAGTAAGACGTTCCTCAATGTATTGAGGCTGTGGTGACAGCTGAAAAAAGTAAAATAACAGAGAGTAGATAAGCAAGCCTTTCATTGTCATTTCTTCTGTCTACTCATTGCAGTTTTAATTGTATTTATTTTTTATGTAACAATCATCGGGTCTAATTTTTTTTTTTAGGGAATCTGTGTTTTGAATAATGTCATTACAAAAAAAACCCAACAACAAACTAAAACAGCAACAACAAAAACACAATCTTGAAGCCAATGGGTGGTTGCTTTGAGATGACACAGATCTACACAAGTACATGATTCATGTTCTTGAAAAACAAGATCTAATAATAGCAGAACAACATTACTTTCCTGACAATATAACTCACCTCAGCCCTGCCTCCAGAGTCTCCAGCAGCATTTTTACCCTTCTTCTTTCCTCCATCTTTACCACTTTCAGTTCCTTCCTGTACACATATCACACCATGTAATTATTTTACTTTTATAAAAATAAACTAGGTGAAAAACATGTTTGTTTAAGGGTCTCATGGACAAAGTTTCCATGCAAATGTAAAAGGTACACTCCTACCAACTGCTTATTTAATAATAGTAACGAATGCAAATAATATTGGGCAAATTAAAAATGTATACATATCGGTTATTTTAAATACATCTTTCTTGTTGCTACTTTAGCATATTCAGTAAGATCAAAACATAACAAAACCTTGCACAAAATGCTGTGTTACAACTAGTTAAAGCACTTGGGTGTGCCGATTTAGAAGGAGAACCCAAGCTAGTCATTCAATACCATAAGCTGGTCTGACGTGTGTGAGCCTACCAACATAGAAAGAAATATTAAACTGTCGCAATTCTGAATATAGTCCGGCTTAACCTTAGTGTACGTGTACTGATTTGCTACATTAGCCAAACCAACTTAGCCAAAAACACTTAACTGTTGTTGCCGTGGTAAAGTTCATAACACAAACATGAAATAATGAACAATTTGGCTAGTTGCCTTAAGATGAACAATTTTCAGTAAAGCCAACACAAAAATCCCCATGAAAGCCAGCTAGCCGAAAAGTTCTTACTGAGTGGCTAAATGACAGCATGGTCCTACGATAGGCTAGGCTAACTGCAAACCGCTTTACATGACTTAAAACACAGACTGAAGTCTCACCTTTTTGCCTTCGTCCACTTGTAATTCGCTCATTTTATCCACGACAGTTTTCTCAGCCATAAGGAGTTTAAAGCTATCCTACTTTAAACCGAGAGATAAAGTCTGAGGTATATCTACTGCAAGCGGTGCAAGGTGCCGGGTAAGGATTGATGACGTTACCCGGATATTCTGATGCAAGCTTGCAGGCGGTGCTCTCTTGGGCGGTGCTTCCTGTCAGAGGAGGGTGATGTAACAAGTCGTATTTCTTTCAAAGTTTGTGTCCATTAATTAAAAAGTCTAATGCCAAACCTCATTTTATGTATTTCAATAAGGAAATGCAATCGCATATCACGATATCAAGCTAGATTTTTATTTTTTTTATTTATATTTAATGATTTTCGATTTCAGTTCTTCTCCTGAACACTTGGTCAGTGCACCTTGTATGAAGCACGTGATGTAGAAGCATTGAGAACACACACACGAAGACACGTTGTGATGAGGCCACTATGATCTGTCCTTTTTCGCATTTTATTAACGACTTACTGTAACCTTTACACTACCAGAATAGTCTATTGCATCAGGAGATTCTGACGCAACATTGTGCACTTGGTCTGTATGTAGATCTAAACAGGTAATATAAAAACACATTTGCTCTTCCCCAAACTGTTTTTCTAAAGCAAAGTACTTAAACAAAATGTCTGACTCAAGGCATTTACACTAAGTAAGTGTATACATAAGTCTGAAGTACTTTCCAAAGAATAGAATTTCTGAACATAAAAAAAACACATTGTGATGAGACACTATTGTCACTGCGACTCTAGGAGTGATTGGTAAACTTTTTCACATGATCTTTCATATTTCTGTAGTTGAAATTCATCTTAGGTTTTCAAGTGTGTGATGCACCACACGCACACATTCCACTTATGGATTTACTGCAATTTTCATTTCCTTTAATTGTGTTTCAAGGATTTTAGAGTACCGGAATAAATGTGTATTGTTGCATCAGAATATCCGAGAAATGATGACTTTTCTCACTTACTCTGATGCAACATCGTAGGCAGAGACATAATGGGTTCTGCTCTTCTGCACTTTTATCTTTTGTATTCAATACAATAAAAAGAAAATTTCAAGACAGGATAGTGATGTCATTTGTCCTTCTCCTGAACTCTTTTCTTTTTTTCTAAAATAAAGCAGGGTGGATTCTTCTTTGCAGAAAACACCCAGTTCAAAGCATTTACAATACGTTTGTACATTTGTTATTTGAGCATACACCCAAAAGCATCAAAAAATGATTGTCCATAGAGTGGAATTTATTACCACAAAGGCATACTCTAATGAGGTCAATATGAACATTGTGAAATGTTTTCTTATGTTCTGACCGCAGGGATCAGTGTTTAAATGTGACCTTTCTAATTGCTATAGATATAAGCAAGTTATTTTTATTTCTCTAAATTGTGTCACAAGGCCTTCAGATTATAAGGGATAAAATTATTAATTATAATTATGTTTTATTTATTTATTCATTTATTTTGTTCATGTAATTGATAAAGTAAGGTATAAGGGCCAAAACTAGTGATAGCAGCCTAAAAGTCCAGAACTGGTTCAAGACATGAGCTCAGTTTGCTGGGTAATAGCACTGGTAATAATGACTGGAATAAGCAATACCCCAGCAAAACAGTCCAGGCGACTTCTGTGTGGGCAGAAAGAATAGATTTTTCTGAAGATAAAGTTGTTGACTTGATGTTGACTTTCGTGGAGACTAGGGAAATAAACAGGTGAATTTTGGTGATATCTTGATTCTGGGTCATTGCTTGTTTTGTAATGCTCTTACCCAACATATTGGAGTTATTGACAAGGGTGGTTATTTTAATCTGAAATGGTGAAAATGTATGTGTACCAATTACATTCCAAGCTGTTTAAATGAAACTTGGAATAGACACCTTGAACAAGAGTATGTTAACATTCTCATTGTTGTTATGCCAGCTAGTGTATTCAATACAATCTGAACAAACAGGTATCTAAATTTGTTTTGCTATCATATGTGCTATAAAAACATTTGTAAATGGATTATCCATCTATGCATTCATCCATCCTTACATCCGTCCATCCAGCTATTAATCTATCCATCCATTCATCCATCCATCCATCCATCCATCCATCAGCCATTCAGTGAGCTAACTGTCAGGTAAGGTGAGAGTCAGGGCAAATCCTGGACAGGTCACCAGTCACCAGAGAGAGACAGCCCATCATGCTTAAATATACAATTATGGCAAAATCAGGACAATCCCTTAACAAGGATGCCTTTGCACTGTGGGCTTTTAGATTTTCCTGCAAAATAAAATGAAATTAATGAATACACATAGAAACAAGTTTAGTTGCATAATTAAAGAACACCACAGGCTTACTACAACTTTGGATAAAAACATTTCTGAGCTGAATAAAAAGTTCTGTCTTTTTCTCAAGGAGTTGTTAGTGTATTTTAAATACTGGGAAATTATGGCTAACGTGGTTGCCCAGAAGGGACATGAGTAACATGGCGCATAGGCATCATTAGACCACTGTTGATTTGGATTGGAATCCTTTCTTCTATTTAGTGTGAAATGTGCTTTCCTTTTGTTCAGCATCACGGGAATTCTTCATGCACCCACCCATCTGCCCTGCGGCTCACAGCTACAATTTCATCAAGTTTTCCAGTTATATTCTGACAGAGCTACTTTTAAAAATAAAATCATTTATCAAGTGTAAAACCAAAAGGGAAAGGGGAAGAGGAGGTCTTAATACTCTCTGTTCTGCCACAAGCAGCTGGTTTTATTTGAACATTCAGTTGCCAGTAGCAACCACTACTATTCCACTATTGCATTTTAACTAATGGAGTCACATTCAGCATTGTGTCAGTTCTTTGGCCAAGGAAATATTGACAAACACATTTTATCCGCTCCTACAATGACCTTATCAGAGAATTGTTTTCCAGTGTTATTATAGCAGTTTTGTGATTGCTTGTTTGTGAGCAATCAGTTCACAGTTAAACAGGCAATCCAGCTGGCTAGCTGTTAGAAGATAATGCCTTTCTAATTTGACAGTGTATTCCTGATGGACAAAGTAACAACTCTTCTAGCAGCACCTTTAAGACATTACATTTCTTAAACAGCACTAGCGTTCTCTTTCACAGTTTACAACTGTTTGTAGTAAAAAGGTCAGCCGCTATCATTTATTCATCTTTATTTGAGGTGCATTTAGCCCACATGATGATGAGCCCACACACATTGTTGCTTGTAAACTCTTGGTGGTTTATAAAGGATAGGGTATACATTGGTCTTGGGTATATATTGGGGCGATTGTGGCTCAAGAGTTGGGAGTTCGCCTTGTAATCGGAAGGTTGCCGGTTCGAGCCCCGGCTTGGACAGTCTCGGTTGTTGTGTCCTTGGGCAAGACACTTCACCTGCTGCATACTGGTGGTGGTCAGAGGGGCCGGTGGCGCCAGGGTGGCTGTGGCTACAATGTAGCTTGCCATCACCAGTGGGTGGATGACTGGATGTGTAACGCGCTTTGGGGTCCTTAGGGACTAGAAAAGCGCTATATAAATACAGACCATTTATATTGGAGATTTATGCCTTTTGTTATAATTTCAAATTTGGTTGTTTTTTAAATGTGCATTTTAATCAGCATTAAGCAATTTTTTTTCTTTTTTCTTGCTGAAGATTTTGATAGTTTTGAGAAAAGAGGTATTTAAGTATTTAAGGAAGAGGAAAAGAGGCTTTTTTGGGGGGTGGGGTGGGGGGGCATATTTCACAATGTAACTTTCGAAGGCAATTTACTTTCACTTTTTGTACCTAAATTCTGTCTCTCTCTTTTTTTGTAATACAACAATCTTATTCAGGCTTTAATTGATTTATGAAACTATGGAAACCTAATTATCAAAATCCTTAATCTCATTATGTTGTTGCTCACATACCCAACATATTCATCATGAAGTACCTGTATGTGTTTTTTTTATCTTTAAACAGATGAGCAAACTAATTGCACATAATTTACGCTCACAATGCATGCATAATCACAATAACAAAGAACAGATTAGTCTTGTTGCTGATTGGTATCATTTCACTGATTGCTCTGCTTACCAAGTATCTGAGGTTATATTTGTCCTATATTTTATTCTCCTTGCTTGAAGTTACCAGACATCAGACAACGTGTGCATTTCAATTACAGTTGAACAGTGGTTTTAAACTTCTGACACTCTCCAAGGGAATAAAGAAGAAGCTGCAGCTCACCGCGCTATCCTGCTGTTCTTGGCTTGTTGTGAGGAGAGGGGAGTCTTGAATAATTAACCTTCAAGCACTTGAAAAGTCAGGCACCATGTTCTATTTCTTGGCTCTGTTTTGGGCTTTGAACACTGGTCTAGTTCCAACTCAGACTCAGAGAGTGGTGTGGTTGATGTATGTTTCCGATGCAAAATGGAAACGTGCCCATGCACTACAAGTATTGAAATATGCAAAATACATACATATGTATTTTATTTTTAAATTAATTAGTATTCAGACTCATTGTCTGTAAATAAAGCAGTGCAAAAAATGAAACGGAGTAAAGTAAAGGAGTTAAAGGAAAAACACGGCCATGCCAAAACCTTCAGATAGTGGATTCATTCAGGAAGTTCCTTCTGCAGTTAGGATAACATTTATGTTCTACATCCACAGTTATTTGAATATTTTATATCACTAGCCATTAGGTGTCAGTATAGAAACCTCACAAAGGACAACCTTAAGCCAGAATTCACCTCCAGTCAGCCTCTAACACTGTTTGCCTGCCTGCAGTTTGCACTCCTTTACAATTAAGCAGACGACATTGTCACCTCCCTCCCTGCGGTTTTGATATTGCCAGCATTTGTCTCCAGGCCTCTCTAGAGACTGAGGCTTAGCGCTTCTGTGCCTTTCACTCTGCTTCACATTAAAGGGAAATGGCACAGGTGAATACATGATGGGATTTGTTCCGAATGCTCCATAAATATTTTATTTGATCTTGATTTATTTTTTTTTTCCACACATAATCTGTGACATCATCATTTGCTGCTGTAGCATATCATAAGTGAAGTATTTCTCTTAGACAGTAATGGGAAACACCTCTTCATAAAAGAATGCATGAATTTTAGAGAAGGCCAGTTAAAGCAATCTCACTAATTCTTACCTAAGGCGGTATCCACAAAAC